AAAAATCTCCATCCTGCCTTGTATCATCGGTTCAGGGTGGTGGTGTCATGGTGTGGTGGATCCATCCTGCCTTGTATCAATGATTCGGGCTGGTGGTGGTGTCATGGTGTGGTGGATCCATCCTGCCTTGTATCAATGGTTCAGGCTGGTGGTGGTAGTGTCATGGTGTGGTGGATCCATCATGCCTTGTATCAATGGTTCAGGCTGGTGGTGGTGTCATGGTGTGGTGGATTCATCTTGCCTTGTATCAATGGTTCAGGCTGGTGGTGGTGGTGTCATGGTGTGGTGGATCCATCCTGCCTTGTATCAATGGTTCAGGCTGGTGGTGTCATGGTGTGGTGGATCCATCCTGCCTTGTATCAATGGTTCAGGCTGGTGCTGGTGGTGTCGTGGATCCATCCTGCCTTGTATCAATGGCTCAGGCTGGTGGTGTCATGGTGTGGTGGATCCATCCTGCCTTGTATCATCGGTTCAGGCTGGTGGTGGTGGTGTCATGGTGTGGTGGATCCATCATGCCTTGTATCAATGGTTCAGGCTGGTGGTGGTGGTGTCATGGTGTGGTGGATTCATCCTGCCTTGTATCAATGGTTCAGGCTGGTGGTGGTGGTGTCATGGTGTGGTGGATCCATCCTGCCTTGTATCAATGGTTCAGGCTGGTGGTGTCATGGTGTGGTGGATCCATCCTGCCTTGTATCAATGGTTCAGGCTAGTGGTGGTGTCATGGTGTGGGGGATCCATCCTGCCTTGGATCAATGGTTCAGGCTGGTGGTGGTGGTGTCATGGTGTGGTGGATCCATCCTGCCTTGTATCAATGGTTCAGGCTGGTGCTGGTGGTGTCGTGGATCCATCCTGCCTTATGTCAACCGTTCAGGCTAGTGGTGGTGTCATGGTGTGGGGGATCCATCCTGCCTTGGATCAATGGTTCAGGCTGGTGGTGGTGTCATAGTGTGGGGGGAGATTTTCTTGGCACTAGTAAGATGTACCTAATAAATTGGCCGGTGAATATAAACCTGTGTGAGAAGTGTTAGATGTAAGCTTCCACTTTTAGCCTTTAACGCCAAATAATCGCTTAAGGCAGCAAGATCATTTGAAGTAACATTAAATGGCTTTTGCTTTCCCATCTCTGAAGGAGGAGGAGGCCTGGTAGTCCAGAAATGACAGCTTTCATCTGAAGATTTTCACTCAGGTATTTTGGCGTCACAATCCCATCAGCCTGAATTCAGGTTTTTGCTTTTTTAGAACATGCTATATAGTGATGAAATGACATACAAAGTCACTTCGCTTCTAGTAAATGGACAGGTACCGTCTAAAGCAAGCCATTTCTATTTTCGAGAGAAGATCCTGCACATATTTTATATAAGGATAGGAGGAGTAACTTTTTTTTTTTTTTTTTTTCCTATAATATACACTACTAAAGTTACTCATTTGTCCCCGGAATGAATTAAAATCTGATTTAGGTTTATACTTTGTACATAAAGGCATACTGTTTCCCCAGTAAAGCTCTCCTAAATCTCTCTCCAGGTAGTTTGGCTAACAGCTCCTTGGTGGCAATGCCCTTCTCTGCAAACTTCAAAAAAACCACAAGATGGCAGCAGAGTCCCTTATCAATGCTACTCCTAACAGTTGGGTGATCCAACACAATAAAGGAAACCTCCGCAGGGGTCACTGCTGACCGCCAACAATGCCAATGGCCTGGCTGCATGTAGTTGTACTACTTGGACACCGGATCCGAATTCTTGTTCCTGATCATTGAAATCTACGGTCCTGATTGGCATACTGTGATAGTGTAATTCACTCAAAGCATTGGATCAACATGACAGCTGGGAAAACTAGCACTTTCAGGAGAGTGGTCAGGATGGCATCCTCCTTGTTCTCTCACTACAGATATCTTTTTAAGCTACATTTTGGGATTACAAAAAAAAAAAAAGACCCCGATAGTGGGGCCCCCAACACTCCAAGGGTAACCCTAGGAGAGATGCCTCCAACACTCCGAGGGTAACCCTAGGAGAGGGGCCCCCAACGCTCCGAGGGTAACCCTAGGAGAGGGGCCTCCAACGCTCCGAGGGTAACCCTAGGAGAGGGGCCTCCAACGCTCCGAGGGTAACCCTAGGAGAGGGGCCTCCAACGCTCCGAGGGTAACCCTAGGAGAGGGACCCCCCAACTCTCCGAGGGTAACCCTAGGAGAGGGGCCTCCAACGCTCCGAGGGTAACCCTAGGAGAGGGGCCTCCAACGCTCCGAGGGTAACCCTAGGAGAGGGACCCCCAACTCTCCGAGGGTAACCCTAGGAGAGGGGCCTCCAACGCTCCGAGGGTAACCTAGGAGAGGGGCCTCCAACGCTCCGAGGGTAACCCTAGGAGAGGGGCCCCCAACGCTCCGAGGGTAACCTAGGAGAGGGGCCTCCAACGCTCCGAGGGTAACCCTAGGAGAGGGACCCCCAACTCTCCGAGGGTAACCCTAGGAGAGGGACCCCCAACTCTCCGAGGGTAACCCTAGGAGAGGGGCCTCCAACGCTCCGAGGGTAACCTAGGGAGAGGGGCCTCCAACGCTCCGAGGGTAACCTAGGAGAGGGGCTTCCAACGCTCCGAGGGTAACCCTAGGAGAGGGGCCCCCAATGCTCCGAGGGTAACCCTAGGAGAGGGGCCTCCAACGCTCCGAGGGTAACCCTAGGAGAGGGACCCCCAACGCTCCGAGGGTAACCTAGGAGAGGGGCCTCCAACGCTCCGAGGGTAACCCTAGGAGAGGGGCCTCCAACGCTCCGAGGGTAACCCTAGGAGAGGGGCCCCCAACGCTCCGAGGGTAACCCTAGGAGAGGGGCCCCCAACGCTCCGAGGGTAACCCTAGGAGATTAGGAACAAGCTGTAATACCTTTTCCCACACTCTGGAAGACTTTGCTGCTTTCCTCTTCTCTCTCACACTCCAATTTGTGGGTGGGCCTTGCTGTCCTCAAGTGCAATGCAGGACTATGGGTCTTACATTGTAGTTGAAGACCCAAGCATGCAGCTGTCATCCAGGCTTCAGAGGACCAGTCACACAGAGTGGGGGAAGCCTTCCGGAGCGGGGAATGAGGTAAGTATTACAGCTTATTACTCTACCTCTAGATGTAATGAGTGCTTAACCCTTGCAGTGCAGGGGGCATACACAGCATAGTTTTTAGGGTTTTTTTTAGTTTTTTAAAATCCTAGAGTTTAGCTAAAGAATTGTATAGCACGGACATCTTCCGTGGGGCTGACAAAGGAAGTCTGACAACAAAAAACAGCCAAAAGATCATTTGTGACAACCTTCAGGTTCAGCTTAGTAGTGCATGACTTCCAGCTGTAAATCTGCACATCACAATGCAATATGGCAGCCTGGAGGCATTCTGTACACAAATGCTGTACAGCATGCCCCCCAGAAATGACATTTCCTGCTTGTATGATTTTCCCAGCAGTCTGCACTAAGATACAAATCAGATTTTGGGCATCCCCTGCAACAAAAATGTCATTTTTGGTGAGATACTCCCATTTAAAGGGATGCAGACCTTGCCACATTCCTCATAGAACCCTACAGGTGCAACAGCTGATTGATAGCTAGAGTTCAGCTAATGAATTAGCACAGTCCTCTTCCATGGGGCTGACAAAGGAAGTCTGACAACTAAAAAAAAAATAGCCCAAAGATCATGCATGTTAGGCTTAGTGAATGACTTCCAGAAGTGAATCTGCACATCTAGGGGATCCAGTGTAACATTGGAAGGGGAGGCTCATAAAATGACCTAGGCTCTGATTAGATAAAGGGCAGGAAAACAGAAAAATGAGGTGATAATCCACATCTTAACAGCCAGTCCCTGGTCTTGGTGTACAGCCCTCCCATAGGGAAGGAGTATCCCAAGTTGGGCATATACCCTATTCAGTTATGCTGTGCACACAGAGTATTGTCAAAACGAAGACGATGAGAGATCAGGAAGACCTTCAACAAGCTCAGCCTCCAGAAGATGAAGAACCAGCTCAAAGGTCGCCATTTTGACAACATTGCGGAGATCCAGTGATTTGCCCAGTTTCAGCAAAATTTCATCATCCTGTGTACATCGGGAGCTGTGCAACTGGTGCTATTCTGACCACATGCGTTATCTGCTATTACATCATGGACAGCAAGTCAGAACAAAGAGCAATCGTGAAATTCTGCGGGCAAATCGCTGGATCTCCGCAATGTTGTGAAAACGATGACCTTCAGTTGGATTTTCATCTTCGGGGGTTGAGCTCACTGAAGGTCTTCCTGATCTCTCTTCGTCTTCCAGTGATGTTCTTCCACTCTTGAAGCGCACATGCCCCAAAAATGAATAAAAGAAGCATTGCCACGTTACTCTATTGATGGTTCCAGTCGCCATGCCAGACATGTTGCCTAATACCTCTCCCTTTTATCCTATTAAAGTTGTTATAACAGTAACATCTCCATGTAAAACTTACGGAATTGTTCAGCAAAAGTTCCCCTTCTGGCTCCCCAGCTGTTGTGGAACTACAAAGCTGTATGATACTCCAAAAGCTTGATAGATATAAAAGCTTAACAGATACAATGTCTCCAATTGTGCTCAGGTAGGTAGACATTTAGTTTTTTTTGGTTTTTTTTTTAAACAACTGTATTAATAATATATATTTTTTTTAATGTGACTCTGTCACTTTTTTTTTTTTGGTTTTTTTTCTTTTTTTAACAAGAACCGACTCCTGAGTGGAGGTAGATAAAATTGATAAAAATAATTAGAATATATTGCATTATATAAAAATCAAATCTTTTTATAATCTTTGATATGAGGTTGTCTCTGCACTGAGAGATCAGGACCTCACTACAAAATGTTATGAAATACGCACGTGCGCACACATATTATACAACGTTCTCTACGAGAGCTGACCAATCAAATTCTAGTGCAAATAGAGATCTCCAGACTTGAGGCTAAGGAGAGGGTTAGTAAACAGCTGGGTAGGTGGGGCGTTCCCCCACCGCTTCGATAGTGAACAGGTGGGGCGCTCTGTCACATCATGGTCTCGACAATGACGTGAGTTGGTTTCATGTGGCCGCCATTGGGACAGAAGGGGGTGGAGCCTTCTCCTTCCTTGGCCCAGCGCTCTAGCTCTCTGGGAGCTGTGACAGATTTGATCCTCTGTGGAAACAAGATGTTTTGTTGATTTGTGTTACTCCAAATGATAGGCAGTAGAAAGACAAATAATAATCCGAAACTGTCCACTCCAAGCTGCTCCTCTCCATCACCACTTGAACCCTAAGTGTTGGAGGTCAACTGAGCCATCCTTGCTCACAAGCTCAATGCAGGAAATGGAAGCCCTTGCACACCAGAGGGATCACTGACATCCATGTTTGCTGTGTAGGACATCCATATGCCAAAGCCCTAGTGGGTGAAACGCATTAGAAAGGAAGCGTTAGGGCTGGGACAATCATTGCATTGTCTGTGGACGTCCTACACGAGAAGCATGGATGTCCTACACGAGAAGCATGGACGTCCTACACGAGAAGCATGGACGTCCTACACGAGAAGCATGGACGTCCTACACGAGAAGCATGGACGTCCTACACGAGAGAAGCATGGACGTCCTACACGAGAAGCATGGACGTCCTACACGAGAAACATGGACGTCCTACACGAGAAGCATGGACGTCCTACACGAGAAGCATGGACGTCCTACACGAGAAGCATGGACGTCCTACACGAGAAGCATGGACGTCCTACACGAGAAGCATGGACGTCCTACATGAGAAACATGGATGTTTGTGATCCTTCTGCTATCTGGTGGCTTCCTTTTCCTGCATTGTGTGCAAGCAAGCTCGCAAATATACTTCCATATGTATTTCCTTTCTGCTGCAGTCCCCATCGGCCCCCGTGATCTCTTGGTCTGATCACATTTCATCTTTTCCCCCTTCTACAACAAAAGGAGTGGTCCTCTCCTAGTTAGAGTTATGTGCAAATCTCAACTGAAGTTAAGGGTGACCCTGCCTCTAGCCCAGTGTTTCTCAACTCCAGTCCTCATGGACCCCCAACAGGTCATGTTTTCAGGATTTCCCTCAGATGAAACAGCTGTGGTAATTACTAAGGCTGTGAAACTGATCAAATCACCTGTGCAAAAATAATGGAAATCCTGAAAACATGACCTGTTGGGGGTCCATGAGGACTGGAGTTGAGAAACACTGCTCTAGCCTATTGGTCTGTTCATTTGATGGATGGCCTCATGTACCAATATGGGAGGTTGCAGGGGATCGGGCAAGATTGTAATGATTTGTATCGTCAGCTGCCTGTCTCTCTGAATCTACTGAGGAGTTGTCACTGAAGGTCATCAATGCTTAAAGGAGAAGTTCGCCTTTGGAACATGTTACATGTTCCACCCATTGTTAGGGTGGAACATGTTCCCATAGCTCCAGCCATGCCCACCACCCCCCCTCCCTCTGACAGATAGTACAGGGAGACTTCTCCTTGCACTGTCAAATTTGAGAACAGCGCGGCCATGTAGGGCTCCGCCCACACAGCCATGTCGCTCATTCACAGACTTCCATGGATGAATGAACTGCAAGTCCCATCAGCCTTAGTGGCTGTGGGCGTGTGGTTTTCAATGATCTACCAAGGTGCTGTGGAGAGCCGTGGTAGTTCATTGAAGCTTCCTGTCAGAATATCTACACCCCGCACATCCCGTGAACTCCGCACACACACCGTACACTCCACACATCCCATACACCCTGTACACCTCATACACCTTGTACATCCCATACATCCTATACATCCCATACACCCCGCACATCCCATACACACCCGTACACCTCATACACCTTGTACATCCCGTACATCCTATACATCCCATACACCCCGCACATCCCATACACCCCGCACATCCCATACACACCCGTACACCTCATACACCTTGTACATCCCACACACCCCGCACATCCCATACACACTCGTACACCTCATACACCTTGTACATCCCATACATCCTATACATCCCATACACCCCGCACATCCCGTGAACTCCGCACACACCGTACACTCCACACATCCCATACACCCTGTACACCTCATACACCTTGTACATCCCGTACATCCTATACATCCCATACACCCCGCACATCCCATACACACCCGTACACCTCATACACCTTGTACATCCCACACACCCCGCACATCCCATACACACTCGTACACCTCATACACCTTGTACATCCCATACACCCTATACATCCCATACACCCCGCACATCCCATACACACCCGTATACCTCATACACCTCGTACACCTCATAAACCTTGTACATCCCATACACCCCGCACATCCCATACACACCCGTACACCTCATACACCTTGTACGTCCTATACATCCCATACACCCCATACACCCCGCACATCCCGCGAACTCCGCACACACCGTACACCCTGCACATACCGTACACTCCACACATCCCGTACATCCCATACACCTCATACACCTTGTACATCCCGTACATCCTATACATCTTATACATCCCATACACCCCGCACATCCCATATACACCCGTATACCTCATACACCTTGTACATCCCATACATCCTATACATCCCATACACCCCGCACATCCTGTGAACTCCGCACACACCGTACACCCTGCACATACCATACACACCCGTACACCTCATACATCTTGTACATCCTATACATCCCATACACACCGCACATCCCATACACACCCGTACACCTCATACACCTTGTACATCCCATACATCCTATACACCCCGCACATCCCGTGAACTCCGCACACACACCGTACACCCTGCACACACCGTACACTCCACACATCCCGTACACCCTGTACACCTCATTCACCTTGTACATCCCATACACCCCGCACATCCCATACACACCCGTACACCTCATACACCTTGTACATCCCATACAGCCCGCACATCCCATACACCTTGTACATCCCATACACCCCGCACATCCCATACACACCCGTACACCTCATACACCTTGTACATCCCATACAGCCCGCACATCCCATACACCTTGTACATCCCATACACCCCGCACATCCCATACACCCTGTACACCTCATACACCTTGTACATCCCGTACATCCTATACATCCCATACACCCCGCACATCCCATACACCCCGCACATCCCATACACCTCATACACCTTGTACATCCCGTACATCCTATACATCCCATACACCCCGCACATCCCATACACCCCGTACACCTCATACACCTTGTACATCCCGTACATCCTATACAGCCCATACATCCCCGCACATCCCATACATCCCCGCACATCCCGTACACCTTGTAAATCCCATACACCCCGCACATCCTATACATCCCCTCACATCCCGTACGGCAAGCAGATATTCTGACAGATCTGCAGGAGACCTGCAAGGCATCAGCCATCTACTGATTGCTGGTGCAAGGCTTTCCAAGCTCCTTTGGACAAAACTAATAAATGCACATTTTTACCTGCAAAAAAAATAGCATTTATTATGTTTGTACAAAAAAGGTGAACTTTAAAGCAGAGACGTCCCTAGGGTTGGTGTCACCTGGTGCGGTACACATGGTGTCACCCCTCCAGAGAGGAAGGAGCAGTGCCGGTGTAGCGGTAAAATGAGTATCCCTTGAATATATGTATACCCTGAAGCAACTACGCATGTGCCGGTTTCAGGCCGAAGAAGCCATTCTCCGACTTTAGCACAGACCCGGGGATTAGATTCTTCGGCCTGAAACCAGCACATGCACAGTTGCTTCAGGGGATACTCATTTTACCGCTACACCGGGGTGTCACTGTGCCGGCATCCTGCTCCTGCACCCCCTGTGATGGTGTCACCCGATGTGGCCCGCACCTCCCTAGGGACTCCACTCCAAAGTGATATTAAAGGTTATACTTACCTGCTCCCTGCAATAGATTTGCACAGAGCAGCCCTGATCCTCCTCTTCTTGGGTCCCTCATCGGCGCTTATGGCTCTGTCCCCCTTTAAGTACTCCCAGCAAGCCGCTTGCTGGGGGGGAATGGGGGGGGTACTCATGCGGGCTCGATCCCGAGCCACACTTTGTAGTTTGGCTCGACCTCACCCCCCCTCCTCACTGGATTTTGATTGACATCAGTGGGTGCATTCCATTGAAAAGGGAGAGAGAAAGAAGTGCTGCGCCTCTCATGCACAGCACTGGACCAAGTTCGGGAGGCCATCTTGGGTGCACCAACAGGTGGGTGCAAAAAAGGCAGAACCTGTAACCTAAGCTGCTAGGATAGCTCACATGAAGGGGTTGGAGGAGGCACACACCTTAACCTTTTTGCCTTGGTTGCTAAATGACCTTGTGCTGTCACTATGTAATGGGTTCTGTTTGCCTAATGCAGAGAATTAAAAAAAGAAAAAAAATCCACCATCGACTTTTTCTCACATACCTCGATAAGCCCTCCTTCAGAGCGCAGAATTCGATACACCACGACCAGCGGGATACAGATCATTGAGGACAGAGCCAGAACCCAACCCAAGCCGATCGCCCAGTCTGGGTATGTGTAATACTTATTGTAGGTGAGTGGGGTGTATTTGGCTAGAGAGAAGATAAAACAACCCTAGAAAAAGAGGAAACAAAGTATAAAATGTAGTATGCAAGTGTCTGTAGCTACTACCCCGGGTTCAAACCTAAGCGGTTTTTTTTCTGCCGCATTTTGCAGAAACGCAGCACAGTCCATTTAACATGATTTCCTATGGGACAGGTTCACATCTCCGCGTTTTCACCTGGTGCGGTTTTTGGAAAGGGTCAGGGACTTTTTTGAATGCAAAAAGTTTGCTTTTTTGGTTCTATAGACTTCGATGGCAACGCTGCAGAAAAGCATGTATTGCATTTTTACTGCGTTTCTGCTGTGTTTTTGATGAATTTTAAGTCTGCCTAACAAGAAAAATGTAACAAAAAAAAAAAAAAACAACGCATCGAAAACACGGCAAAAACGCAATGCAGAAACGCATCAAACACAACCTGCATAGGTGTGAACCTAGGGTTACAGCTGAACTCCAGCATAAACCAATATCATCGAAATGCACTGATGCATATTATTCCATAAGTCTCGATGGGCTCTGTGTATTTCTTCCAGATCTGGGCTGTCATCCAGTGTGAGCCTTCCTGTAATAAAGACCGCTCACTGCTGATCTCTCTCCTTGTGCAGGGGGACTGGTCTGGTCTCCACCCCCTCCTATAGTTTTTCCTGTAGTGGGTGGGACCTGCAGGGCCACTCCCACAGGTCTTTGCACATGTTATACAGTGGGGCAAAAAAGTATTAGTCAGCCACCAATTGTGCAGGTTCTCCCACTTACAAAGATGAGAGAGGCCTGTAATTGGCATCATAGGGAGACCTCAACTATGAGAGACAAAATGAGAAAAACAAATCCAGACAATCACATTGGCTGATCTGGAAAGAATTTATTTGCAAATTATGGTGGAAAATAAGTATTTGGTGACCTACAAACAAGCAAGATTTCTGGCTCTCACAGACCTGAACCTTCTTCTTTAAGAGGCTCCTCTGTCCTGCACTCATTACCTGTATCAATGGCACCTGTTTGAACTTGTTATCAGTATAAAAGACATCTGTCCACAACCTCAAACAGTCACACTCCAAACTCCACTATGGTGAAGACCAAAGAGCTGTCGAAGAACACCAGAAACAAAATTGTAGACCTGCACCAGGCTGGGAAGACTGAATCTGCAATAGGCAAGCAGCTTGGTGTGAACAAATCAACTGTGGGAGCAATAGTTAGAAAATGGAAGACATACAAGACCACTGATAACCTCCCCCGATCTGGGGCTCCACGCAAGATCTCACCCCGTGGGGTCAAAATGATCACAAGAACGGTGAGCGAAAATCCCAGGACCACACGGGGGTACCTAGTGAATGACCTGCAGAGAGCTGGGACCAACGTAACAAAGGCTACCATCAGTAACACACTACGCCGCCAGGGACTCAGATCCTGCAGTGCCAGACGTGTCCCCCTGCTTAAGCCAGTACATGTCCGGGGCCCGTCTGAAGTTTGCTAGAGAGCATTTGGATGATCCAGAAGAGGATTGGGAGAATGTCATATGGTCAGATGAAACCAAAATAGAACTGTTTGGTAGAAACACAACTCGTCGTGTTTGGAGGAGAGAGAATGCTGAGTTGCATCCAAAGAACACCATACCTACTGTGAAGCATGGGGGGGTGGCAACAGCATGCTTTGGGGATGTTTCTCCACAAAGGGACCAGGACGACTGATCCATGTACAGGACAGAATGAATGGGGCCATGTATTGTGAGATTTTGAGTTCAAACCTCCTTCCATCAACAAGGGCATTGAAGATGAAACATGGCTGGGTCTTCCAACATGACAATGATCCCAAACATACCGCCCGGGCAACGAAGGAGTGGCTTCGTAAGAAGCATTTCAAGGTCCTGGAGTGACCTAGCCAGTCTCCAGATCTCAACCCCATAGAAAACCTTTGGAGGGAGTTGAAAGTCCGTGTTGCCCAGCGACAGCCCCAAAACATCACTGCTCTAGAGGAGATCTGCATGGAGGATGGGCCAACATACCAGCAACAGTGTGTGCCAACCTTGTGAAGACTTCCAGGAAACGTCTGACCTCTGTCATTGCCAACAAAGGATATATAACAAAGGATTGACATGAACTTTTCATATTCACCAAATACTTATTTTCCACCATAATTTGCAAATCAATTCTTTCCAGATCAGCCAATGTGATTGTCTGGATTTGTTTTCTCATTTTGTCTCTCATAGTTGAGGTCTCCCTATGATGCCAATTACAGGCCTCTCTCATCTTTGTAAGTGGGAGAACTTGTACAATTGGTGGTGACCAAATACTTTTTTGCCCCACTGTATACAGCACAGTGATGATGTTGCTTCTGCTTTACAAATTAATATTTGGATTTGCAAAAAAGAATTTAGCGCACCCGAAGTGGACTTATAGCCTTAGTCGCTACTGAGGAATTTATTTAAAGGAAAGTTCTTGTGCCTGGAGTTCAGCTTTCACCCCCAGATCACACCTATGCGGGCGTGCGGGCCACGTTTTGCACGGGCACGAGAGCCCATTCATTTGAATGGACTCCCGTGCCCATGACACGCAGGAAAGAAGTCCCTGCACTTCTTTGGAAAACGCAGCCCTCACGGGAACCTCAGTTCTCAGTACGGTTGCGTTTTCCAGTGCAGGCGGCGTGCCATTAGAACTTAATATCGCCCGCAGGTCCGCATTTCTCTGTGCGGGTGGTGCGGCTGCACGGATTTTCGTGTGGATCTGCAGCGGCACCACCCGCACCGGGGGTAAATTACTGTTGTAAAGTTTGCCTATCAGTGAGTTTTGATTCGACTTTCACAGTTTTTAAATGTCAGCTGCGCGGCATGTCGCAATGTTTTTCTACACACATTTGTTAGTTCCTCTTGCAAAAAGTTTATCCAGCGCTGGGATCATTCAGCACGGGAAGTGTTGGTATTTGGCTTGCAGGAGAGGGGAGTTTGCAAACAAGGGCTTAAAGTCCAACTCTGGGCTCATTTTTTTTTTTTTTTTGGAATCCTCCACTTCACTCTGAGCTTTAGGCTGCTTTCACACTGATCCGCCGCAAAAATGCCTCAAAAACGCATAGGCATTTTTTTTTCTTTAAAGGACATGTGACTTAAAACTGCATCAAAACCGCTTCTTAGAGGCGTTTTCCATTTATTTCAATGGGAAGAAGTGTTTTTGGGGCTTTTTTTTTTTTTTTTAACTCCCCAAACATGTCCCAAAGATGCTGCAAGCAGGAATTTTTACACCGCAACGCCTCAGTGTGAACGCATACATAGATGTACATTCACATACATAGATGTACATTCACATACATAGATGTACATTCACATACATAGATATACAGTCACATACATAGGGAAGCAGTTTTCTTGAGCTTTTCAGGTGCTTTTTTAACGCAAAAACGCTTCAAAAACTCCTCGGTGTGAAAGTATCCTTATTGAAGGCAGTGATTTGACTTTTAAAAGTGCTCCAGCAAAACAGATTTCTAACTGCTGCCTCAATAGGTTATAGTGGGTGGTCATAATGTTATGGCTGAATGGTGTATATATGCAAGAATTCCTCTGCGAACAGAATGTCATGGATGTACTCTGGAGATTCTAGAGCCGTACTTACCACACACAGCACAGGCGTGATAAAACACCAGCTCCACTTCATCCATGGGCCTGGCTTGTACCCGATCATATCCTCAATGTTTTCATACATTTTATCAGCGCCTGCACAGTTGGAGTAAAACAGAGCAGTAAAAAACTTTAACTCCACAAAAATTACAATTCACATTAGCAATTCCAAGAAACAAAAGTGATCAGCAAGTGCCTTCGGCTGGCTTCACACCTATGAGTCCCAGTAAGGTGCGGTGAATTACATTGTGAGTCATTTACAGTACAGTGGGTGCCAACGGACCTGCCCTACACCACGAGGCACCAGCACGCTGTTTGCAGTGCACTTTTCTTCCATTTTCAAGCTAAGTGAATGGGCCGCCCTAACGCAACTGACATTGATGCATAAAATGCTGCAACGGAATGTATAGGTGTGAAGGGGCCCCTAATGGTGTCCAACACACTGCGGCAGTTTTGTCTTTACCTGTGACCAACCTCATTTTGAATTCACACAGCACCTCACAGGGGTGCTGGTTCTGCACTTGTGGAACTGTGCTGTGTGAACGCCCTATTCTCTTTCCCTGTTGCTTCTATCTTGGCGCTGATTTTTTTTTCCTTTACAGCAGACTGTATGCTAGATAAGGGCCTAAAGTGGGAGTGTTGGGGAATCTCTCTCCTGCTCTACAAGCGGGTGTTCCCGGCAGGGGCGGACTGACAACTCATGGGGCCCCCGGGCAATAGGGGATCATGGGGCCCCTGTGTCCTTGCCCAAACTCAAAAAAGCCTATGATAAAGGTACCGGGGGCATCTCATGGGGCCCCCTACTGACCCCGGGCCCTCGGGCAGTGTCCGAGTTTCCAAATGGTCAGTCCGCCCCTGGTTCCCAGGTTACTGACAAAGTGATTGGGGTGGACTGGTGCACTATTCCTATGGCTGGATGGAACATGGGGTACTAACTGATCAGGTTGCCTGTATTGTATGCATCTCAAAGCTTAATTCTAATTTTGACAGGCGTGCCCTTAAAGTGGTTCTAAAGCATTCTATGCATCAAGGTAAAAAAACCTTTTGTGCCATTGGCTCCCGCTGCTGTCAATCAAATATTGTGACAAGGGAGCAGGGGCGGGGTTGAGCAGCACTGTCTGTGTTTATAGACACAGGCAGCACAGCTGGAGATCCCGTCTGCATGACTCCCCCCCCCCCCCCCCCCCCTTAGAAAGTAGTTTTCTATGGTGGTCACACACGCCAAAGAGGAGGAGCCAGGAGTGCCTGCGGAAGACTCCAGAAAAAGAGGATCGAAGCTGCTTTGTGCAAAACCATCGCACAAAGCAGGTAAGTATGACCTGTTTATTATTTTAATTAAATAAAAAAACATTAAAATGTTACAATCGCTTTTGTAATAAAGGGATAATTCTGCTCGCAGCTCTACCCTGTCTTAGTGAATGGGATGCCACCTATGGGTTCAAATTATAAAACCGAGACAGCACAGGGCCTGGAACCATGTGGACATCCATTTTAAAACCTGAAGAAATCTTCTTGCCAAGTGGGACGGACTTACCATATATCCAGGCTACAGCAATACATTCAAAGAATGCAACCCACAGGAGGCAAACACCACTAGCTGCGTAGTAGTCAAAGAGCTGGAATACATACATGCCGCCCTGCGGGAGAGAGGACAGGGGGGTTATGGGACAAAGAAAAAAAGGAATTGGTGACAAACATCTTGTATATTAAAAATGCATTAACCACAGTTACCAGTTCAGTATTTGTTTTAAAAAATGCGCCACAACAGATAAAAAAAAAAAACATACATGAACCTTTTAAAAAAATTAAAAGGGTCTCCAGACCTAGGGAGACTGACACTTGTTTTGTGTTTCTTCCATTTGTGAATGATTGCACCAACTGTTGTCACCTTCTCACCAAGCTGCTTGGCCATAGTTTGGTAGCCCAGTCCAGCCTTGTGTAGGTCTACCATCTTGTCCCTGACATCCTTGGCACAGCTCTTTGGTCTTTGCCATGGTGGAGAGTTTGGAATCTGATTGGCTGATTGCTCCTGTGGACAGGTGTCTTTTATACAGGTAACACAATGAGATTAGCAGCACTCCCTTTAAGAGACGGCTTCTAATCTCAGCTTGTTACCTGTATGAGAGACACCTGGGAGCCAGAAATCCTGCTGAATGATAGGGGATCAAATCCTTCTTTCCTTCACTGTAGAGTGGGTGTGTTGTAATATGTTGTGAGAAAACAAGTTAGCACACTATCCCTTTAAAAGATTTCAACACTGTCCTTCAGTAGAAGTCTTTTTGTGCAGTGTATTCAGAGATCTGGCTGGAGTTTATCTTTTGTTAATGTAAATTTGGGGTTGATCTGTACCGAGGACAAAAGGGCTGACAGTCGAAATCATCAGGGAGCCACAGGAAACGAATGGGCAGGAAAGCTTGCAATCAACTTACTTCTGTGACCATAGTCAACCCCAGAAGATAGCTGAGGAAACACACAATAGCGATGAAGATCTCTCGCCGGTAACCCTTCCGTAGGAAGGACGGGTATAGATCAACCAATGAGGTGATCTGTCCTTCGACTTCAACAAACTGTCACAAGAGAGAACAAAGATTGACGTCACGTACTGGAAAAGACAGTTAAGGCTGCCTCTATGTACACATTTATATTTTTAGAAGGATTGTAGAAAGATCCTACAGGTATGGTATATTGATAATTACATTGTGTACACAATTATCAGGCAAGTGCGAATTTTAACCAAATCATCATTTTTATGCATATTTTTAAACTCCAAGCTGTATAACCTGAAATGCTCATTTAACCACTGCCAGTCCGGACGCTTTCCCCCCCTTCCAGTCCGGACGCTCCCCCCCCCCCTTCCAGTCCGGACGCTTCCCCCCCCCCCTTTCCAGTCCAGACGCTTCCCCCCCCCCCCCTTTCCAGTCCGGACGCTTTCCCCCCCCCCCCTTCCAGTCCGGACGCTTTCCCCCCCTTCCAGTCCGGACGCTTTCCCCCCCCCCCCTTCCAGTCCAGACGCTTCCCCCCCCGCCCCTTCCAGTCCGACGCTTCCCCCCCCCCCCCTTCCAGTCCGGACGCTTTCACCCCCTTTCAGTCTGGACGCTTTCTCCCCCTTCCAGTCCGGACGCTTCCCCCCCCCCTTCCAGTCCGGACGCTTTCACCCCCTTCCAGTCCGGACGCTCTCCTCCCCTTCCAGTCCGGACGCTTCCCCCCCCCCCTTCCAGTCCGGACGCTTTCCCCCCCCCTTCCAGTCCGGACGCTTTCCCCCCCTTCCAGTCCGGACGCTTTCCCCCCCTTCCAGTCCGGACGCTTCCCCCCCCCCCCTTCCAGTCCGGACGCTTCCCCCCCCCCCCTTCCAGTCCGGACGCTTTCACCCCCTTTCAGTCTGGACGCTTTCTCCCCCTTCCAGTCCGGACGCTTCCCCCCCCCTTCCAGTCCGGACGACGCTTTCACCCCCTTCCAGTCCGGACGCTCTCCCCCCCTTCCAGTCCGGACGCTTCCCCCCCCCCCTTCCAGTCCGGACGCTTTCCCCCCCCCCTTCCAGTCCGGACGCTTTCCCCCCCTTCCAGTCCGGACGCTTTCCCCCCCTTCCAGTCCGGACGCTTTCCCCCCCCCTTCCAGTCCGGACGCTCCCCCCCCCCCTTCCAGTCCGGACGCCCCCCCCCCCCCCCCCCCTTCCAGTCCGGACGCTTTTCCCCCCCCCCCTTCCAGTCCGGACGCTTCCCCCCCCCCTTCCAGTCCGACGCTTCCCCCCCCCCCCCCCCCCTTCCAGTCCGGACGCTTTCACCCCCTTCCAGTCCGGACGCTTTCACCCCCTTCCAGTCCGGACGCTTTCCCCCCCCTTCCAGTCCGGACGCTTTCTCCCCCCCCCCTTCCAGTCCGGACGCTTTCCCCCCCTTCCAGTCCGGACGCTTTCCCCCCTTCCAGTCCCTGACGCTTTCACCCCCTTCCAGTCCGGACGCTTTCACCCCCTTCCAGTCCGGACGCTTTCACCCCCTTCCAGTCCTGACGCTTTCACCCCCTTCCAGTCCGGACGCTTTCACCCCCTTCCAGTCCGGACGCTTTCACCCCCTTCCAATTCGGACGCTTTCACCCCCTTCCAGTCCGGACGCTTTTCCCCCCCTTCCAGTCCGGACCCCCTTTTCCCCCCCTTCCAGTCCGGACGCTTTTCCCCCCCCTTCCAGTCCGGACGCTTTCCCCCCCCTTCCAGTCCGGACGCTTTCCCCCCCCCTTCCAGTCCGGACGCTTTCCCCCCCCCCCCTTCCAGTCCGGACGCTTCCCCCCCCTTCCAGTCCGGACGCTTTCCCCCCCCTTCCAGTCCGGACGCTCCCCCCCCCCCCCCCTTCCAGTCCGGACGCTTCCCCCCCCCCCCCCTTCCAGTCCGGACGCTTCCCCCCCCCCCCCCTTCCAGTCCGGACGCTCCCCCCCCCCCCCCTTCCAGTCCGGACGCTTCCCCCCCCCCCCTTCCAGTCCGGACGCTTTCACCCCCTTCCAGTCCGGACGCTTTCCCCCCTTCCAGTCCGGACGCTTTCCCCCCCTTCCAGTCCGGACGCTTTCACCCCCTTCCAGTCCTGACGCTTTCACCCCCTTCCAGTCCGGACGCTTTCACCCCCTTCCAGTCCGGACGCTTTCCCCCCCCCTTCCAGTCCGGACGCTTTCCCCCCCCTTCCAGTCCGGACGCTTTCCCCCCCTTCCAGTCCGGACGCTTTCACCCCCTTCCAGTCCTGACGCTTTCACCCCCTTCCAGTCCGGACGCTTTCACCCCCTTCCAGTCCGGACGCTTTCCCCCCTTCCAGTCCGGACGCTTTCACCCCCTTCCAGTCCGGACGCTTTCCCCCCCCCCTTCCAGTCCGGACGCTTTCCCCCCCCCCCTTCCAGTCCGGACGCTCCCCCCCCCTTCCAGTCCGGACGCTTTCCCCCCCCCCCCTTCCAGTCCGGACGCTTCCCCCCTCCCCCTTCCAGTCCGGACGCTTTCCCCCCCCCTTCCAGTCCGGACGCTTTTCCCCCCCCCCCCCTTCCAGTCCGGACGCTTTCCCCCCCCCCCTTCCAGTCCGGACGCTTTCCCCCCCCTTCCAGTCCGGACGCTTCCCCCCCCTTCCAGTCCGGACGCTTTCCCCCCCCCCCCCTTCCAGTCTGGACGCTTTCCCCCCCCTTCCAGTCCTGACGCTTTCACCCCCTTCCAGTCCGGACGCTTTCACCCCCTTCCAGTCCGGACGCTTTCACCCCCTTCCAGTCCGGACGCTTTCACCCCCTTCCAGTCCGGACGCTTCCCCCCCCCCTTCCAGTCCGGACGCTTTTCCCCCCCCCCTTCCAGTCCGGACGCTTTCCCCCCCCCCTTCCAGTCCGGACGCTTCCCCCCCCCCCCCCCCCCCTTCCAGTCCGGACGCTTCCCCCCCCCCCTTCCAGTCCGGACGCTTTCCCCCCCCTTCCAGTCCGGACGCTTTCCCCCCCCCCCCTTCCAGTCCGGACGCTTTCCCCCCCTTCCAGTCCGGACGCTTTCCCCCCCCTTCCAGTCCGGACGCTTCCCCCCCCTTCCAGTCCGGACGCTTTCCCCCCCCCCCCTTCCAGTCTGGACGCTTTCCCCCCCCTTCCAGTCCGGACGCTTCCCCCCCCTTCCAGTCGGACGCTTTCCCCCCCCCCCTTCCAGTCCGGACGACGCTTTCCCCCCCCTTCCAGTCCGGACGCTTTCCCCCCCCCTTCCAGTCCGGACGCTCCCCCCCCTTCCAGTCCGACGCTCCCCCCCCCCCCCCTTCCAGTCCGGACGCTTCCCCCCCCCCTTCCAGTCCGGACGCTTCCCCCCCCCCTTCCAGTCCGGACGCTTCCCCCCCCCCTTCCAGTCCGGACGCTTCCCCACCCCCTTCCAGTCCGGACGCTTTCACCCCCTTCCAGTCCGGACGCTTTCACCCCCTTCCAGTCCGGACGCTTTCACCCCCTTCCAGTCCGGACGCTTTCACCCCCTTCCAGTCCGGACGCTTTTCCCCCCCTTCCAGTCCGGACGCTTTTCCCCCCCTTCCAGTCCGGACGCTTTCCCCCCCTTCCAGTCCGGACGCTGTCACCCCCTTCCAGTCCGGACGCTTTCACCCCCTTCCAGTCCGGACGCTGTCACCCCCTTCCTGTCCGGGCGCTTTCACCCCCTTCCAGTCCGGACGCTGTCACCCCCTTCCAGTCCGGACGCTGTCACCCCCTTCCAGTCCGGACGCTTTCACCCCCTTCCAGTCCGGACGCTTTCCCATAAAGGCTGTAAAAGCAATCATTTCTCCTTCTCTCTGGTTGCATTCTTGCAGCCATTGAGAAATACTGTGTGAGCTGTGATTGGTCTCAGCTTGTCACATGGTACAGGGCTGTTGTGAATAGCCCTGTACCATGTGACCTCCGTGATCATTCACAGATTTCACACAAGTGACATCTTGCTTACTACTCTGCATGTGATCACTGATTGGCCAATCAGTGATCACATGATTGGGACCTCACACACAGGTCCCGTACGACGACCGGTGTTCCCCGGTGTCCCGAGGACACAGCGGGCACCGGAATGCTGTTCTGCGTGCTCCCAGGGAACGTGCACAAGCAGGGGGCGGGGAGGCCGTTTATAAACAGCCACCTGACCCTGCACTGCCGCCGTCCGGCTGTTTAAATACAATGGCCGGACAGGAAGTGGTTAAGCATAGCAGGTGATGTGTATTTGTGTAATGAGGGAAGGTGTGGCCTAAGAAAATCAATACCCTATATCAAATAACAATTATAATCATAATTATTAGGCAGCTTCTTTTCCTCAGGTAAAAAAAAAAAAAGACTGAAAAGTCAAAAATTTTAAAAAGTCTTTCAGAGGGATGCAGCACTCTCGAAATTGCTAAAATATGTAGGCGTGATCACAGAACCATCAAACATTTTGTTGCAAATAGCCAACAGGGTCGCAAGAAACGTGTTGAGAAAAAAAAAAGGACGCAAATTGACTGCCAAAGATTTGGGAAGAATCAAACTTGGAGCTACCAGGAAGCCATTATCCTCAAGTGCGGTCATACTCCAGAACTGCAACCGACCTGGAGTGCCCAGAAGTACATGGTGTTCAGGGCTCAGAGACATGGCCCAGGTAAGGAGGCTGAAACCCGACCATTACTGAACAAGACACATACGTTGAAACATCAAGACTGGGCCAAGAAATATCTGAAGATAGATTTTTCACAGGTTTTATGGACTGATGAGATGAGAGTGACTCTTGATGGACCATGTGGATGGGTTCGTGGTTGGATCAGTAAAGGGCACAGAGCTCCACTTAGACTCAGACACCAGCAAGGTGGAGGTGGAGTACTGGTATGGGCTGGTATTATTAAAGATGAGCTAGCTAGTTGGACTTTTTCGGGTAGAAGATGGACTCAAAATCAACTCCCAAACCTACTGCCAGTTTTTAGAAGACACTTTCTTCAAGCAGTGGTACAGGAAAAGGTCTGCATCTTTCAAGAGGACCATGATATTTATGCAGGACAATGCTGCATTGCATGCATTGAAGTACTCCACTGCGTGGCTAGCCAATAAAGGTCTTAAAGATAAAAAAAACAATAACATGGCCCCCTTCCTCACCTGAACTAAACCCTATTTAGAACTTGTGGGCCCTTCTTAAACGGGGATTTATGATGAAGGAAAACACTACACCTCTCTGAATGGTGTCTGGGAGGCTGTGGTTGCTGCTGCACAAAATGTTGATTTTCAACAGATCAAAACAGTAACAGACTCCATGAATGGAAGGCTTACGGCCGTTATTGAAAAGAAGGGTGGCTATATTGATCACTGATTTTTTTTCTTTTTTTTGAAATGTCAAAAATGTTTATTTGTAAATTTTGAGTTTTTTGTTTAAAAGACGAAAACAAACAGATGGGGAGATGGGGAAATTTTCATTTTTCATTTAGTTACATAACAATTCTGCACACTGATAGTTGCCCAATAATTGTGCACACATAGATACATTCCTAGGAAAACCAAAACCTCACTTTTACTTTCTTAAATATTCAGATTTGAGGTTTTATTAACATTTTGGACTGACCGAGAGCTCTGTAATTGTTCAATAATGATACTAAGCCTCAAAAAGAACTAAGATAACTAAAAATAACTAAACTAAGCCTCAGTGTGCCAAGCTGGACCATTACAATAGCCATACCTGGAATTCTTCTTTAAGAATCTCCTCTGAGCTCAGGGACCTTTATAGACCTGAAGCCTCGCTTACTTATACAGTCCCCTAAGATCGCTGGCAAGTCCTAATATGTTGATAATTCACAGCAAAGGGTATATTCTGATGTAGAACTTACCTGGCTATCTAATCCAAGCAGCACAAGCATTATGAAGAAGAGAATTGCCCAGAAGGAGGGCAGGGGCATCATAGACACGGCTTTGGGGTAGGCGATGAATGCGAGGCCAGGACCTAGAACAATATCAGAGGAGGGGGAGAGGGAGAGGGTGACAAGGAAATTAGCACAGCTCTGCCCGTGATGGAGGACACCCAGCCCAACCAGGTCCTAACAGTTCTGGATAATGACCACCAGTGGCTGTGGAACATGTCCCAGCATATCGGGAGCGGCAATTCCACATCCACTGGTAACCAAAATTTTGTTCCCACTTATGATTGAACACTGTATATCCCTTCACCCATTTCCATTAGAAAACATACAGAGTGAAAACTGGCAATGTTGCCTACAGCATCCAGATTCATTTGGTGGTTTCCACTAGAAATGGCAGCTGGACTCTAAACTGGCTGCTGAAGGGCGACATTGTCACTTTTCCAGATCCCATAAAGACCATGGATCTATATTTAAAGGGAACCTGTGATTAGGGCTATAACCTTCCCTCGCCAATGTGTACAATGCTTTTAGGATTTGGATGGTAGCAGCTCTGACATTTAATCATCATCATGACAGGTACTCTTTCCAGCAATTCCTGCCTATGGGCTCCAACAGATGCAGCAATCCTCCAGCTTCTACGCTGCACAAGAGCTCCGGGGCGGAGATGCTGAATCTACTTAGCATTGTTGGAAGACAAGTCACTGCCCTGATTAAATTATACATAAACCACAGGATCCAACCCGGGCATTAAAAATGCAGAAGTGAGAGGGGTACCGCTCTGGAACTAGCATGAAGATCAGCATTTAGACAAAGCTGCTTCTGCCAGGGACCTTGGAGGCAAGTGTTTGACACAGAAGTTCCTTTTTACCTTGTGTCTATACTAAAAACGGGCCTATGGAAAATATACATTTGTTTAGAAAGGAATTCAATTTGCCCATTTTATTAATTAGTTCACCTAAACTTTTCATCGACCTGAATACACTATATGGCATCACAGTTATATATGAAAACAATAGGCTGTGGGTGGAATATTTCCCACCTTGCATCATTCAAGGCTGTAGGCCTGGATTCACATTAGGTATACATTTGACCATAAAGTCCCTTTACTTTTCACACCTAACTGCGGCATATAGATGTGAACCAGCCCCATAGCCAAGTATGGGATATGTACTTGAACTATGGATAGGCTCTTAATGCTCTTGGCATCTAATGTCTATGGGGTTATATATACATGAATTACACCCAAAAAAATACACTCGTGTCTCAAAGATCCATATACTAAAGTCCATCCAACAGATTCCAGAAGCAATGCAACAATATTGATTGTTTGTTCTGATCGGCTTCACTATCCTGTACAATGATGTATTGGCAAAACTCAACAGCAAATTGAATTTTGCAAACCGGCAACAGGTAGTGTGACGGGACTCACTTTGTGTGGAGGGCCCTGGAACCCAGCTCACTTTGGAGAGGTGGGGAGACCCCTGTTTTAACTCCCCATATCCCTCTTATGTGTAAGTCACCCTGTGCCTGTTAGGGGTACAGGGTGATCTGTCCTAATATTGGAGTGGGGGGTTGTGGATTGTTTAAATGCCATGTAGTTGCATCCCATTGTTCTATTGTGTGTCTTGATTGGGAGCAAACTATTATGGGATGTATGTGTTTATGGGTATTGGCTTGGTGGGGGGTGTCTCCAGCAGCCCTCCCTCCTGATGGGACTGTCTGTTGGTGTATCTCTTGTTACTAAATGTAGATTGCCCCGCCCTGTGTCATTTTCAGGGAGGGGGGGTTGTTCCCTTGCATGTATATATCTTGTATCTGTGTTAAAATAAACTCGTCTACTCTGGTTTACTTCAAGACTGGTGTCATCTAGTTTTGTTTGGTCAGCTGTGGTGTCTGTGGTCGGTGTTTGGACAGGGAAGCGGTAGTCTAACGGAAATACCCAAGTGCAGTCGGGGTCGGTTCCGTTACAGCTAGAAATCAAGAAAACAGCCAATGCTGTGCAGAAATCACGGCATATGCTTACATTTAATTTGGCTTTTACAGAAATCGGATCGGATGCAGCCATACATGGCAGGCTTGTTAAGAGCTTGCAGTTATGATTGCAGCATCCTGTCACATGGTTCTGTACTGTGAAACCACCCATTTTCTTCTATGTGTACGGAGGAGGTTGCAGAATTCTCAGATAAAAAAGGTCAAATTATTTCTGATGGATCAGCAACACTTCGTATAGTCTATTGTTGGTGATTTTTCATAAATGAAACCTCAGGCATTACATCATCTAAGGTCTTTAAGCCCTGGGGCATCTTCAGAGGGTCAAAAGTCTACAGCTCTCTTGATCTGACAATAATCCATCATATCAAGTCACAAGTGTCTGAGTATGATAAATTACGGGAGGAAAATATCAGTCCTAATAAAAAATAGATGATAGTTGGGGACCAGATGCCCAGGCAGCAACCTTAGACTGGTGGTGGGTTCTTTGTATATCACATGTAGTGTTACCGTGTTATGGTGGTCATTGCAGGAATGTGCTGTAAAAAATACGTGTTACCGCAATGCGTAGGTGGGTTTCCAGCCTCAAACATCTTCAAAGACTCCAGTGTGGAGATCTTATATAGAATCCATCAGTGGACACAATCATCTAGCTATAGAATGTGCAGAGCACTGGGGAATCTGGTGTGAAGTCCATGAAGTGATACCAGAAGCCAGCATGTGACTCAAGCCAGCACCATACAAAAACTGAGCAACTCTTTTGGGTGACCCTGGGCCTTTGAGTTTCCACAATGGCACTACTCTTATTCTATATCTAACACACAGGAACGTCTTCGAAAGCCTGAACATAGGAAACGCGACTAAGTCCCCAGTGGCAACCAATCCGATTCCAGCCGCCATTTTCCTAACATTGCAGAGAGAATACTACAAAAACCTGATTGGTTGTCACGGGCAGCAAAAATACCAAGAGTGGTTAACCAAGCCATCCAGAGGATGTTCTCTAAACAACTGGCCAGTTCTCCAGTGATTGGTTGCAATGTCGTAACATGGATTGTCTGAGACGCTTCCATAGTAGTAGTCAACTGTTCCTTTGCTCTGGTTTTCATAAATCAATGTGAAACTGTGATGATGTTATTGTTTTGAAGATCAATCTGGGGACTTCAGGGATTGTTCTTCTATTATTTTTCCATTAGAGGGACAATTTAAAGGAAATGGAAGCTGCAGAAATGTCTGTATTGCCCCAACAGATACGTTTTAAAGTTCTAACCTCCCTTAGAAAAAGGCCATTTGGATTCTGACTGGCTACTGTAGTCAACACAGACACAAAGGCCCTGATTCTTCAAGTTGCAATAGCATTTAAAGCATATTAAAGTTATTTTAAGCATTACTAAAGTGCAGATTACTATCATTTTAGCATGCCTTCAGTAATATTGCAGTTGAAAGATTCTGGGCTATTAGCTGCTTCCATTCATTTTAAATTGGACCTGGTCTACGATGGGGAACATACAACCCTCAGCTGACTGCTCCTACCCAGATGAGAGCTGCGTCTCTATGTGACCGCCTCACCGTTGTATCGTCATACAGTACCTGACTCTGCCACATCTGCAATGTCCACCCCTTGCTCTTGTGCCATGAAGCCCAGGACGGAAAAAATTGCGAAGCCAGACACAAAACTGGTACCACTGTTGAGGCATCCCAGCAGCATACAGTCCCTATGTCACACACATGTCACGGAGCAGTGTTAATGACCAAAACCTGGAACCCCCGCACACCTCCCACCCCCGCTGACCGACGACTTGCCTATAGCAGTTGTACTTGTACTTGTTGTAGCTCCCCAAGGACGTCATGGCTCCTAGGCAGATGGCATAGGAGAAGAAGATCTGGGTGCCAGCGTCAATCCAAACCTTGTGGGGATGAGAAACAAGATGGGGGTGAGAGGCAACACATGATGTGTACTGATTATTAACATCGAAGTATAGCTAAATGTGGGGAGCACATGCGAAGAAAGTGTATGAATCGTCACTTTTCCCCACAGGATGGAGAAATAGATGTCCAATACGTGACCAGGGGCAGACTGACAACTCATGGGGCCCCCGGGCAATAGGGGATTATAGGGCCCCTGTATCCTTGCCCAAACTCAAAAAAGCAGGTGAAAAAAGGTACTAGGGGCATCTCATGGGGCCCCCTACTGACGCTGGGCCCTCGGGCAGTGCCCGAGTTTCCAAATGGTCAGTCCGCCCCTGTACGTGATCTAGCTTGTTATTTGAGTTCCTAATTGATAGGATTTGTAAATACATCATATAGCCAAGTTTTCTGCACAACTGACCATCACATCTATGTGAGCTTGTTGGACATCACATTACAAAACCATGGGCAATAATATGCAGTTGTCCCCGCTACCTTGGTGTCTATAATGACCTTTACTCTTCTGGAAAGTCCTTCTACAAGATTTAAGAGCGTCTCTGTGTGCTCGTGTCACCAAAAGTACATTTGTGAGGTCAGGTACTGATGTTATAGAAGTCCTGGCTTGCAATCAGCATTTCAGCTCATCCCGAAAGGTGTCTATTCGGGTGGCCAGGACTCTGTGTAGGACACTTGAGTTCCTCCACACCAGACTGGTCAAACCATAATGCAACTGGCTTTGTACGCAGCGGCACAGTCATGCTGAACCAGAAAACGATCTTCCCCAAATTGTTAACCACAAGGTCCGAAGTGCACAGTTGTCTAAAACTTCTTTGTATTCTGTAGTATTAACAAAACCCTTTATTACGCTCAACTCAAACTTCTGAATCCTCCTAGAAAGCGTCAACTAAACGTAGAGAAGCCTTTTACATAAACCATTTTGGATGTATGTTTACTGTAGGGGACACTAAACAATGGACGCACTGGAAGGTCACTCTCACCTGTGGATCGCCCAGTCGGGTCATGTCCGGGTACAGGTAGAATTTGATCCCTTCTGTGGCTCCGGGTAAGGTGACCCCACGGATCAGTAGCACGAGCAGCATGATGAATGGGAAGGTGGCTGTGAAATACACCACCTAGAGCAGAAACAGAGGACAGCATTGTCTATGAGATTCCAGGGATGCATTAAAGGGAACCTGTCATGACAGCTGTTATCCAGCCCTACTGGGGCTCCCATACAGAACTAAAGGCTACCATGTCCCTGCAATGTACATTAATCCCCCAGAGGGAGTTGTGTTTTGCCTAACAAAAGTTAAGTGACTCTTTGAAAAACACTCACCGGCCACTTTATTAGATACACCTTGCTAGTGCCAAAAAAATCACCCCCACACTATGACACCACCAGCACAAGCCTGAATAGATGATATGAAGCAGGATGGATCCACCTCACCATGACACTACCACCCCCAGACTAAACCGATGATACAAGGCAGGATGGATCCACCACACCATGACACCACCACCACCAGCCTGAACCGATGATACAAGGCAGGATGGATCCACCACACCATGACACCACCTCCACCAGCCTGAACCGAAGATACAAGGCAGGAAGGATCCACCACACCATGACACCACCTCCACCAGCCTGAACCGAAGATACAAGGCAGGATAGATCCACCACACCATGACACCACCACCACCAGCCTGAACCGAAGATACAAGGCAGGATGGCCCCACCACACCATGACACCACCACCACCAGCCTGAATAGATGATACAAAGCAGGTTGGATCCACCTCACCATGACACCACCACCCCTAGCTTGAACCGATGATACAAGGCAGGATGGATCCACCACCCCCAGTCTGAACCGATGATACAAGGCAGGATGGATCCACCTCACCATGACACCACCACCAGCCTGAACCATTGATACAAGGCAGGATGGATCTACCACACCATGACACCACTACCACCAGCCTGAAGTGATGATACAAGGCAGGATGGATCCACCACACCATTACACCACCACCAGCCTGAAGTGATGATACAAGGCAGGATGGATCCACCACACCATTACACCACCACCACCAGCCTGAACCATTGATACAAGGCAGGATGCATCCACCACACCATTACACCACCACCAGCCTGAACCATTGATACAAGGCAGGATGGATCCACCACACCATGACACCCCCACCACCAGCCTGAACTGATGATACAAGGCAGGATGGGTCCATGCTTTTATGTTGTTTACGCCAAATTCTGACCCTACTATCTGAATGTCACAGTCTGCCCATTCTCCTCTGACCTCTAACATCAACAAGGCATTTTCCTTGTTGATGCCGTTCGCTGGATATTTTCTCATTTTCGGACCATTCTCTGTAAACCCTAGAGATGGTTGTGCGGGAAAATCCCAGGAGATCAGCAGTTTTTTAAATACTCAGACCAGCCTGTCTGGCAGGGCTGTGGATAAGGGGGCACCACCCGTCTTTCTGTATGGGGCCCAGGCTAGCAGGGGGGCCCATGCAGCTGGATGAATTGGATATGGGCAGGGAGGGTGATTGGCATGGTGGGGGGGGGGGGGATTGAGTAACTGGAACTGATCCCCAGTATGGCTCTCTACACCAACTAAAAGCTGGCTTCTTCTCCTCTCCCTCCCGCCACACAGATCACCCTCCCTGTGTATCACGCATTTCCCCCTGCTGCCTAAGCCCCCCTGTGTGCCCCTACCCCCGCAGTGCTGACGGCTTCCCTCCTCTCCTTCCCACAGGCAGCTGCAAGCACACAATAGGATCCTTCAGGATGGAGAGTGGGGGAAGAGTCCGGTAAATATGCTACATTTACCAGCTACTTCATTTCCAGAATGAACATAATGAGTGACCGGTACTGATCACTCACTGCGTTCATTCATAACTGAAGCATTGTAAACTTATTTGGGAAGGTCCTTTCAGGTTGGTTGTATGGGACCCTGTGGTTTCTAACAGTAGCCCTGCCATCTGGCACCAACCATGCCACATTCAAAGTAATTTAAATCCCATTTCTTCCCCATTCTGATGCTCAGTTTAAACATCAGCAGGTTGACTTCATCACGTCTAGATGCCTAAATGCATTGAGTTGCTGCCGTGTGATTGGCTGATTAGCAATTTGTGTTACCGAGCAATTGAACAGGTATAGCTAATAAAATGGCCAGTGAGTGTATTTAGTTTGTTTGTTAAAGTGGTTGTAAACCTCAGACTTGAAATATGAACAATGCATATTCCTCTATAGTGTGTACTTGTCTCAATCCAGAGCACTAAGTGTCATTCCTGTCTGCTGCTTCCTTCCTCTTCTATCTGCATGAGCCACTTCTGACAAATTTTCCTGACACCAAGAGAAAAAAGGTGACAGGGGAGTGACCTCCAGCAGAGTGTTCCTGTGTGAAGGGGGTGTGTTCTTTCCCTCCAATCAGCTCTCAGAGCTCTCCTCACTGATGTAACATCAGCTCCCCAGCCCCTTCTTTTCAGAACTGAGAGATCCTGTGTAAATCCTGCGCTCTGAATGGATGTAGGGGTCAAATGGCTGTAGATAAACAGGTAAAACTTGCCTAGTATGATTTTTGTTTTATCTCTATCACCTGAGGCCAGTCACTTCACTGGGTATATCTAAGGGTTTACAACCACTTTAAGCATTTATATACCTGCCAATCTCTCACTGATGAGGACAACCTATCTCAGGGGCCCCTCTTACCTTGCCCGTAGAACGGACGCCCTTCCAGATGCAGAAGAAGCAGATGACCCAGGTGAGGAGCAAACACAATGCCAGGTCCCACTTCACCACCCCAACGTCATCTATTCCCTTTGATAAGGTAAGAACTTTGCGCCTGCGAATGGAAAGTCAAAGTCGCTGATTAAAATAGAAACGTGTCCCATCTACACAGACTGCTGTACTAGTGAAGACATTATTATTACATCGAATTTATATAGCGCCAAAGGGTTTGCTCAGCGCTGTACAATAGAGGGGGGGGCATGAAACAGTACAGCAACAACAAACAGCACACGAGGGGTTAGAGGGCCCTGCTCCTTGGAGCTTACAATCTAGGAGGGAGGGGGTAGAGGTTCAGGAGGTAGTGGCTGTGGGGGATGCAGTGGTAGGAGGAATGAAGGAGAGCAGCAGTTAGGTGAGGGTGGGGTAGGCTTCCCTGAAGAGATGGGTTTTCAGGGAGCGCCTGAAGGTGAGGAGGGAAGGTGACAGTCTGATGGATTGGGGTAGTGAGTTCCAGAGGATGGGGTAGGACCTGGAGAAGTCTTGCAGTCGTGCGTGGGAGGAGGAGACCAGGGAGCAGGATAGAAGGGAGGTCCTGTGAGGAGCGAAGGGTACGGGTAGGGTGGTACCTGGGAATCAGGTTGGTGAGGTAGTTAGGGGCAGTGTTGTGAATGGCTTTGTAGGTCAGAGTGAGTAGTTTGAATTTGATGCGTTGGGCAATCGGGGAGCCAGTGAAGGGATTGGCAGAGGGGGGTGGCAGAGGTGGAGCGGTTGGTGAGGTGGACGAGTCTAGCCGCTGAGTTCAGGATGGACTGAAGCGGGGATAGCCTGCACTGGGGTAGGCCGGTGAGGAGGGAGTTGCAGTAGTCCAGGCGTGAGATAATCAGGGAGTGTACGAGTAGTTTGGTGGTGTCTGAGGTAAGGAACGTACGTATCTTGGAGATGTTGCGGAGTTGGAGCCTGCATGTGTTTGTAAGTGATTTGACATGAGGTTGGAAGGAGAGGTTTGAGTCCAGAATGACGCCAAGGGCTTTGGCTTGCGGGGCGGGAGTGATGGTGGTGGTGTTGGTAGTGATGGATAGGAATGGGGGGAAAGACGAGAAGCTCGGTTTGGGAGAGGTTAAGCTTGAGGAAATGGAGCGACATCCAGTCTGAGATGTTGTTTAGGAGGTGAGTGATGCGGGCGGAGAATGTGGGGGTGAGGTGAGGGGTGGAGAGGTAAATTTGAGTGTCATCGGCGTAGAGGTGGTAGTTGAAGCCGTGGGAGTGTATGAGTTTGCCGAGGGAGGAGGTGTAGATGGAGAAGAGAAGACATCAACTAGAACCGGGGTTCCTAAATATGTTATGGATACAGGCCTCAAATGGAGGGCCCAATATGTCCCCATACCCCCTTCACCAGACTGCTGATATCAGCAGAAGTCCTGTACAGTACCAATAAAATTTACTTTGCTCGGCTTTAGTTTACAAAAGGATAAATAGGAGTAAAAACAGCTAAAAGAAAATCAATAACGTTTTTTTTTCATATTGATTTATATTATTAAAAAATGTCTACATTCAGTGAGATTTGTCATGTTGTTTCAGGGTAATAAAACACATAAAATTGAGGTCCAGTTCCTAGTTTGTATTTTATCCATCCCATCAAATCAGGTTCTCCACTCTAATTCTGGGTTCGATAATGACAAAAATCCCCAGGCAGGTATCCTACTCTTGTATCTGTATCTCCATTGGAGGCTGCATATGGTGATGAGCCATGTAATTGGCATCCACAATTATAATATACTGCTTGCCCCTTCTGCTTCAGGGCTTGCCTACTCTATTAAGTCCCTCTGGGAATGTGATATTGGGGATCTGGAGGACAAGGGGGGGCACTATTCTTCCCACTGATACCAATGATGGGGCACTATTCCCCCCCACTGATACCAATGATGGGGCACTATTCCTCCCACTGACACCAATGATGGGGCACTCTTCCTCCCACTGACACCAATGATGGGGCACTATTCCTCCCACTGACACCAATGATGGGGCACTATTCCCCCCACTGACACCAATGATGGGACACTATTCCTCCCACTGACACCAATGATGGGGCACTATTCCTCCCACTGATACCAATGATGGGGCACTATTCCTCCCACTGATACCAATGATGGGGCACTATTCCTCCCGCTAATACCAATGATGGGGCACTATTCCTCCCACTGACACCAATGATGGGGCACTATTCCTCCCACTGATACCAATGATGGGGCACTATTGCTCCCACTGATACCAATGATGGGGCACTATTCCTCCCACTGATACCAATGATGGGGCACTATTGCTCCCACTGATACCAATGATGGGGCACTATTCCTCCCACTGACACCAATGATGGGGCACTATTCCTCCCACTGATACCAATGACAGGGTACTTTTCCTTGCACTAACTCAGAGGCATCTTCTACTCCCACAGGCCAGAACCCGGTCCCCCCAAAGTTTGAAGGACTGTAAACTGGCCCTTTGTTTAGAAAGAATGGAGACCCCCAAGTTGGGGTATACATATCCTCTAAGTGCTCTGAATGAGTGCTTCCCCATTACTTTGAAGCCTAATCAGGCCTTTGGGCCCCATGTATTCTCTCTGAATGATTCCGGTTACATTTCTCGCTCAGAACATCATATTAAACATGTGCGGTAACAAAGTCAGACATCCACAAGAGTCATTTTGCGAGGATTAAGCAATGTTACGTTTTGGCTTCCTAAGAGAAGCGCCCTGACCCTTCACCGCGGTATTTGGGGTTTTGTTCCGCAGCTACATTTTGGCAAAAGACTGAGCGGACAAATGCCAAGAATATCTGGCCAACTGCCACAGAAGCTATAAAACCTCAGATCTCCCAAACATTGGGATGAAACATTCCGAGGAGAATCGACCTAAAAATAAACACTAATAAATAGGGGAAAAAGGCAAAAACATGTTGTTGTCCCGGCATTTTTTTTGGACTAGAACATAACAGGACCTGAATATTCGCTATAATTATACTTCCATAGCAGCCGGTCTGCAGCAGTTGTATTTGTAAATGACAGGCCCACTACAGCGACAAATATCTCACTCCGGTAACTGGATGTGACTGATATTGTAACCATAATCCAGGTTTCCTTTTTTTCACGACTTTTTTTATATATATTTTTCTTGATGTTTACATGCAGACCAAGATGTCCAGGGGTTGGGGCGATCCATAGAACACTGCTGGGTTCTTACAGCAATCTGATTGTATTCCAAAAGATCGAACCCCTTTTTCTAACAGAAAATAAAAATGTTCTGCAACTGCTTAAAGAGTGTTGAGTTTGACATTCATCCGAAGAAAGTTTTAGAAATAGTAAGCAAAACGCATTCAGGCTGTAATATCTCTAACAGAGCAATCTCTTCAATTGTTAGCGCCCTCTAATGGCCAACATGCAATATATTTTCTCATTGGAGGGTTTCAGAAATGATTTGTCCACTAGCTGGCGCTAACGGTCACAGGGATTACTCTACTGGTGGAATTACAGCCAGTGCAGCATGCACCCAACAAATGCTTTATCAATAGATAAAAGTCAATTTACTCTCTTTCACCCCCTTCTCTCTCTCTCACCCCCTTTTTCCCACCCCTTATCCCTCTCTCACCCCCTCTTTCTCTTGCCCCCCTCTTTCTCTTACCCCCCTCTCTCTCACCCCCACTCTCTCACCCCCTCTTTCTCCTACCCCCCTCTCTCTCACCCCCTCTCTCTCTCACCCTCTCTCTCACCCCCTCTTTCTCTTACCCCCCCTCTCTCTCTCACCCCGTCCTTTTTCTCTTACCCCCCTCTCTCTCACCCCTTTCTCTTACCCCCTCTCTCTCCCCCCTCTTTCTCCGACCCCCCCCCCCCCCCTCTCTCACCCCCTCTTTCTCCTACCCCCCTCTCTCCCACACCCCCTCTCTCTCACCCCCCTCTTTCTCCTACCCCCCCTCTCTCTCACCCCCTCTTTCTCCTACCCCCTTTTCTCTCTCTCACCCCCCCTCTTTCTCCCACCCCCCTCTCTTTCTCCCACCCCCTCTTTCTCCTACCCCCTCTCTCTCACCCCTCTTTCTCCTACCCCCTCTCTCGAACCCCTCTTTCTCCTACCCCCTCTTTCTCCTCCCCCCTCTCTCTCACCCCCTCTCTCTCACCCCCCTCTTTCTCCTACCCCCTCTCTCTCACCCCCTCTCTCTCTCCACCCCCCCCCCTCTTTCTCCTACCCCCCTCTCTCTCACCCCCCTCTCTCTCTCTCACCCCTCTTTCTCCTACCCCCCTCTCTCTCTCACCCCCCTCTCTCTCTCACCCCCTCTTTTCTCCTACCCCCCTATCTCTCACACCCTCTTTCTACTGCCCCCCCCCTCTTTCTCTTACCCCCCTCTCTTTTCTCACCCCCCCTTTTCTCTCACCCCCCCTCTCCCCCCTTCTTTCTCCTACCCCTATTTCTTTCACCCCCCTCTTTCTCTTACTCCCCTCTCTCTCCTACCCCCTTTCTCTCCTACTCCCCTCTCTCCAACCCCCCTCACCTCTTCTCTCTCTCTCACCCACACCCCCTTCTATCCCCCCTCTCTCCTACCCCCCCCTCTCTCTCAACCCATCTCTCTCCCTCTCACCCGTTCTCTGTCTTACTCCCCATATTTATCCAAGACTACTCTCTCCACTAGGTGACAATTTCACTGCGTAACGAAAAACGCTGTCACTCTGTTAGAGGAAGTGAAAAAAGAATGCATCTACTGGCAGGATCACTGGTGAAAGGATTAAATGGAATATAACTGAATCCATTTTGTATACACTAATACAAGATGCTAGTTTAATATATATATATGAGATGTGTGCACACTAACAAAACTGTCTATCTCAGCTTCATGTAGAAATGAGTGTTTTTGCAAACCCTTACAAAAAAGCAGATAAGGTTTACTCTCACTTCTGAAAAGTTTTAACCACAAATTGGGTGTTAGGTCAGATTAAAGCCATGGTCTGGGCTTTAGAGGAGATATGGTGTGATAGATAAAGCAGAAGAGTGAAAATGCAAACCTCATACAAATAATTGTTGAGTTAAGGTAAAATAATGTACATGTATTTGATTGGATGGTCAGAGGGTGTGTT